ACTACTACTACTACTACTGCTGCTGCTGCTGCTGCTGCTGCTGCTGCTACTACTACTACTGCTGCTACTACTACTACTACTACTACTACTACTACTACTACTGTCGGTCTCGTGCACCACATCACCACGGCTCAAAGGCCTTGGGAAGAGCGTCCTTGTGGCTGCCTCATTTCCAGTATGTGGCGAGCACCTCTTCTGGGTGAGAGGGCGGGTCTGACGTGCATGCAGCGGCGGGCGCTTATCCGAGGGCAGCTGGTCCCTACGGCCTAAAGTAAAGCGACAGCGGCGGCACAGCAGCACACGGGGCGACCCCAGTACCGCCATCGAGGCCAACTAGCGCGAGTAGGCGCGAGAAGAGGCCAGGATGGCAAGCCAAAATGGCTAGGCGCCCAGCGGCGTCGCGGCAGCACACGGGGCGACCCCAGCACCGCCAGCGAGGCCCACGAACGCAAGTAGGCGTGAGAGGAGGCCAGGACGGCAAGCCAATTGGCAAGTCAGAATGGCTAGGCGCACAGATGACCGTGCGAGGAGCGGAGGCTTAAGCAACAGGAGCCGCGTCGCGAGGGGGGCACCACTGTGGGCACACCGCGCTCGCTGGCAGGGCGGCGTTGCTACAGCTGGGGCGTAAGCAGACCTACAGGTTCAGCACCTTTGAAAGTGGCAGGCACGGGATCTTAACATGGACTCACGTAGCCTCCCCGAGGGCATAGAGGTATTCGATGCTGTGGGCCTGCAGAGTTTCATCATTCAGGCGGACTGGCCTGCTCCTTGCGCAATGGCTGCAAAGACCTGCGACGGCAGCGCTTGCACTTCTCCCCCGAGGTCGCCACTGCCGCCCGCCTGCCCTGAGGGCCCAAAGATCTGGCGCTCGAGGTCCTCGCCGAGGGCCACGTCGGCAACATTAGGGATCTGCTGCGGGAGCGGGTCCGTCGGCGGCGGCGGCACCGCAGGGGGCGCCGTCAGCGGCGGCGGCGGCGGGGCCATGATGGCCGCTGGCGGGGCCCCAGCAGGCGGTGGTGGCGGGTCCTGGCTGCCGCGGGCCACGCCAGCTGGAGGGGCGCTGGCGGTGCGGACGGGGGTGGCGCGCGGGGCGACCCCGGTACCACCCCCGCCGCCCGTGAGGCTGCCCTCCCGAAGGTTGTGGCGGCGCCCGTAGAGCGCCAGTTCCTCGTACGCAGTCGCCAGGCGCTCCACCTTGGCCCTATTCCGCTGCTTCTTGGTGTAGCCTGCCCACTCTGGATCGTTCAGCCCCCAGGCGACCTGCGAGCACAGGTCGGTCCACTTGAACTCGGGCAGGCTCTCCCAGGAGAGCCCCTCCATTAGCACATAGTGGCCCTCCCACTGCGGCTGGTGCGGAACGTAGCGCTTGAAGACGGTGCCCACCGCCAACGGCTCGACTTTGGGCAGGTGCTGCAAGAGGTCCACAGCGCTGATCACCGCTACCCCCTCCTTCTTGAGCTTGTCGTAGCGCAGCACGGCCTTCAAGTCGCGGATGTCCTCCTCGGGGTGTTCCGCGTGCATGTAGCACGGACGAGGCGGGTTCTGCTCTTCTTCTATCAACTCGATGCAGACGCCGTAGGAGGTCGCGTAGCGCGCTCCACAGTGGCAGTACCAGCGCTGGCCCGTCTCCCCCGCCGCCTCCTGCGCGCAGGTGAGCAGTTGCGTCCAGCGATCCGAGCGGATCACCGGGCAGCATCCCTTGGGATTGTCCCAGGTCTTGTTGGCCGAGCACTTGTAGTACATGTTGAACGTGAAGCCCTTGCCACGGTAGAACTGGTCCGTGTAGTCGCCCATGCGTCGGTAGGCCTCCTGCGCCATGGTGTTGCCCTGGCACTCCTCCTTCCAGGCACGTTTGTGTCCCAGGTGTGCGTCCGCGACCCCCGAGGCTTCCAGGAGGCCCTTCTTCAGCCTTCCCACGTCATCCTCTGCCTCCGCATTCAGCGCGTCGAGCCACTTCTGGACCCCGTCCTGCGCCTCTGCGCCCCTCACCATCTCCTTTTTCTTTTCCAGGATGGGCCCCAGGCCTCCCAGCATGTGGGCGCGCATGGTCTCGAATTTAAGGACCCCGTAGGCCCGCGCCATACGCTTCAGCGATTTCTTGGAGAGGCCGAGCCGCAGCAGGGGCTCGATATCCGTGACCTCCTCCACGGTCTTGACGTTGGTCAGCTGGTGGTCCTGGTCCTCAGCGTCGTTGTCGGGCGGGGGGTCGCTCTCATCGCCACGGCCAGGGTCTGCGGGGCCAGGTCCATCCTCGAGGGGTGGAGGTGGCGCGCGGGGCGGCCCCGGCACCACCTCCACCGCCACCGGGCGACCGACCTCCTCCGCCACCGTTTCCGTGGCTGGGGGGGCGCCCGTGCTCTCGGGAGCCGATGCCCACCCCGACGCCTTCCGTTGACCTCCGCAGGGCAAGCAAGCCGTCGTCGGAGAGCGCGAACCCCACCAGCACGTCCATGCCCTCCATGATGTGGTCGAAACTCGCGCGGAACTTCGCCACTCGTTTGGCGGCGTGGTCGATGGAGTCAGCACCCTTGTTCAGGCGCGCTGCGCGCGTCACGGCCTCGTGCTCGGTGATGTTATGCGTCGCCGCCACGCAGTGCGAGCACGTGTACAGCTTGTATTGGCCTTGAACACCCTTCCGCAGCTCGGGGTATTGCGGGTTGCGTTCTGAAGCCTCGGCGTAGCGGCGCATCTCACCACAGCTGAGCTCGTCCACGCACTCCACCATCATGATCTTCCAGTCATCCAGCGCTGAGCACACCCGACACCAGCCCAGGCGCTGCGGCGGGACCCAGTACGCACCCATGCAGTGGACGTAGCCCGCCTCGGCGTAGTCCTCGTCCGCCATCATCTCGGCGTCCTCGAGCGCGGCAGCCGTGCCGCCGCTCGTTGGGGGGGCTTTGCCGTAGGCGGCCTTGTTGCTGCGACGGCGGTGTCGTTTGCTGCTACTACTACTACTACTACTACTACTACTACTACTACTACTACTACTACTACTACTACTACTACTACTACTACTACTACTACTACTACTACTACTACTACTACTACTACTACTACTACTACTACTACTACTACTACTACTACTACTATTACTACTACTACTACTACTACTACTACTACTACTACGACTACTACTACTACTACTACTACTACTACTACTACTACTACTACTACTACTACTACTACTACTACTACTACTACTACTACTACTACTACTACTACTACTACTACTACTTACTATACTCTTACGACTTACTACTACTAACTACTACTACTACTACTACTACTACTACTACTACTACTACTACTACGACTGACTACTACTACTACTACTACTACTACTACTAACTACTATTACTACTACTACTACTACTACTACTACTACTACTACTACTACTACTACTACTACTACTACGACTACTACTACTACCTGCTTACTACTAACTACACTACTACTACTACTACTACTACTACACTACTACTACTACGACTACTACTACTACCTACCTACCTACCTACCTAACCTACCTACCTACCTACCTACCTACCTCTACTACCTACCTACCTACCTACCTCCTACCTACTACTACCTACTACCCCTACTACTACCTACTACTACTACTACTACTACTACTACTACTACTACTACTACTACTACTACTACTACCTACTACTACTACTACTACTACTACTACTACTACTACTACTACTACTACTACGACTACTACTAACTACTACTAACTACTACTACTACTACTACTACTACTACTACTACTACTACTACTACTACTACTACTACGACTACTACCTCGACTACTACCTACTACTACTACTACTATTACTACTACTACTACTACTACTACTACTACTACTACTACTACTATCGACTATCGACTATCTACTACCTACTACCTACTACCTACTACCTACTACCTACCACCTACCACCTACCACCTACCTACCTACTACCTACTACCTACTACCTACTACCTACTACTACTACTACTACTACTACTACTACTACTACTACTACTACTACTACTACTACTACTACTACTACTACTACTACTACTACTACTACTACTACTACTACTACTACTACTACTACTACTACCTACTACTACCGCTGCTCTAGAACTACGACGATGAGGAGAAGGAGGAGGACGGCGTTTACCGCTCCTACTAATGTTGCTTTTCTAGAGGCTCCAACTCCTAGGTAGGGTCGCACTGGGATATTTTTTTGCATGCTTTAAAACCATTTTGGAGTGGTTTTTGAGTATTTCTTTACTTTCGCTGAAAATCCCCCCGTAGGGGGACAGGCCCGACCTAATGGTAGAGTCACGCTGCGACAAGCTTCGAAGCCACGCTGCAGCAGCTTCCCGAGCGCCAACCGATCGCCCGCTCCTCGCCGACTGGGGTCCGGGCCGCTTCTCCCGTCCCTGGCGGGGCCTGCAGGGGCACCGTCAGAGATCTGGGGGCGTTCACTTGTCAAGCGAAGACGTCGAAGGCTGGATGTCTGGGCTCACCGTGTTGCCCCCCTCCCCAGCCGCCCTGGTTTCGCTGGCCTTTCCTCCCCGCCTGTGTATCGTATGCCTTGTCCGTCACGGCTGGCTCTTCGCGCCTGCAGGGTCTACACGCTCGTACTTTCCTCTTTCGCGTGTGTGTGTGTGTGTGTGTGCAGAGCGCTGCGGCCGTGCCAGGTTGTGGCCGGAAAGCGAGCAAGTGGGGCATGGAATCTTGCCGCAGTTCGTGATGGGCCGATGTTCCACCGCAACGGGGGAGAAGAGAGAATAGAGAGGTCCTGCTTCTCCTCCTCCTCCTTTTTCTCCTCCTTTTCCTCGTCCTCTCCTCCTCCTCCTCCGCCTCCTCCTTCCTGTCCTACCCATGGTACAGTGGTGGTGGAAGATCGGCCAACCAATGGCTCTCAGCCGTCCGCAGCGCGGAGGCTGGCAGGGAGGGCTGCCGACTTCTCGTAATTCCAACGCTCCGCATCGGGCCCGAGGCTCTTCGCGCGTCCCCGGGCGAGGCGAGGCGCGCGCGCGCGCGGCGCCATGGCTCGGTCGCCCGGATGATCACGTTCTTGCCGCTGCCCGACTTCGCTGCGGTCGCGAGGCTCTTGGACGACCGGCGCCTGGGCTCGCAGCGGGTCGAGGCACGCTTCATCCTCCGCTGCGTCCGCAACGCCGGTGGAAGGTATGCGCGCTTCCAGAATACGGGCTACGTGCGGATGTGGGTGGGCCACGAGGATCGGCGCGGCGCCGGCACGGAGTACGGGCAGGGGTTTTGGCCTGGCGTGGCGCTCCGCTGGTCTCGGCCCACCACGCTGCGGCGCGACACGCTGTCGGGGAAGAACCACGCAGACACAATTAATCGTCGATCCCCAAGAAAATCAAAATATTGGAATTGGGCGGGAAGACACGAACCCAGAAAATTTGAGAAAATATGGGGCATCATGTTATTCGTGCGTATTTATTTGTGTGTCTTTGGGTCCCTTGACATTTATGTCCTCAGTCCCCAGGCGTCGATGTCCCGAGCCTTTCCCAGCCTCCCGCCGCCCTATCCGCTCGCAGGGCACGGCGTGTCGCCTGGGCAGCCGCCGAGTCACGCTCAGCAGAAGCTCCCGACCGCACGGCGCGCGGCTGATCGGCGGGTCCCGTGTCCAGAGCAGACTTGGCGCGACCCGTCGCAAAAGGAAGCGGCATCGGCCTCGCGTTTCGGGGTGTGGGCCTTCCCCGTTCCGCGGAGCTGGCGCCGAAATGCCAGATCCGTACAGTCGGGGCCCTGAAGAAGGAACCCTTTTCGTTGGGGAGGGGCTCCGTGTTCCTTGATTTCTTCACAGTTCGCCTTGGGTTTTCTTTTGGTTTTCGATGTTCAACTTGTGGATAGAAGGGGCCTCGTTCCTTATTTAGGGTTCCTTGGGTCAACGCTCCGACTGTGCATGTCAGCGTGTGCCCGAGAGGACGCGCTGGCGGTGTATTACAACACCGTGAGTGAGGAGTGGCTCCGGCGCGGCTTCCGGGAGGGCGTGTCCAAGGCCGAAGACCAGGGCCCCGTACGCGGCGACATTCACAAGCCAGGGCATCGGCGCACCTGAGAAAAGAGCAGCCGTGTGTCGAGGCAGTCTCCGTTCTCCGTTCTCTTCGTGCGGTCCTGCATGGGAGCCTCGGAGGGTCCAAGAATTCCCTTCGTTTCTGTTGGGGGATGTCGCCCGGATTTGTCGAACGTGGTCGACATTTGTGCGATATATCTGGACGAAGTCGGGACGGAACGGTGAAGAGGGGTGGTCGAAATCTGGACGTGCAGTCGGCATCGCGTTTACGACAGGGCCGCGGGGGTATACAGAGGTTGCCGTGAAGGCTTACCCAGGTTCTCTGCAGGTGGAATGCTCAATCGGCGTCGCACCAACATGCTGGTACTATGTGTGCGTCGCCCCCCCGTGGGCGACGCGGGCCCGGAGAAGCCTTGTGGTACAAACTCCGTGGCGGGCGCTTTTGGGGCAGCACCGTTCGGAAAACGAGGTACTGCAACACGGTTGTACTGCGTGATCGGGTCGGACGCACGCCGACACATAGTATCAGCACGTCGTCCTACGTCCCTTTCAAAGTACCGGTTAGCAATGTCCTGGCCTGGGGGGCCCTGCGAAGAGCACGTCGCCGGGCTCGGCCAGGCGGACGTGCCCACCCCCGGGTGGCTGGGCGACGACCGGCTGCACCGCACCCACAGGGCGGCGCTGCTGCTCAAGGACCCCGCACACTACGGCGGCTTGGGCTGGACGGAGCCTCCTGAGGTCCATGGATCCGAAAACGCCGCCGGTTGAAGGTAGGCCATGTGTGGATTCCCAGTTCCAATCTTCTGTAGCCGCCTTCCTGCTGCAGAGGTCGAGCGGTTTTTCCCTCTGCCCTCCTCTGCCAGGGGGAAAGGGCGGAAGCCCAGGCGACTTCCAGCGCCTTCCGACTTTGTGCTTCCAGCGTTGCTCTTCTCGACCGGCGGGTGAGCGTGCCCGAGGCCTTGCGAGCCCTGCCGGGGGGTGGGGGGCCTGCCGTCCGCCGAGCTGTCTTCCAGTCCGCGGCCCCAGCGTCGGATACGGCCAGGACCGGCGGTTGAGCGGGGGGGAGCCGGTCGGTGATCGGGGGTGTGCCGTGGGGTCTGCCGCGGTGCCGGTTGCGGCTGCCTGGGCGCGAGGCGCGGAGGCTGCTGTGGGTTTGCCGCGGTGGCGGCGTCGTCCACGTGGGCGCGGCGAGGAGAGACGGCGCGGCTGCATCTGATGCTCGGCTGTTTTCGGCCGCCACTTCCGGCAGCGCATGTTCGGACACTCCGCAACAAAGAGCGCGTGCCGCTCTTCTGTCCCTTTGTGCGCAGCGCTCATGGGCGAGCACGTCGTCCACGTGGGCGCGGCGAGAAAAGACGGCGCGGCTGCACCTGATGCTCGGCTGTTTTCGGCCGCCACTTCCGGCAGCGCATGTTCGGACACTCCGCAACAAAGAGCGCGTGCCGCTCTTCTGTCCCTCTGTGCGCAGCGCTCATGGGCGAGCACGTCGTCCACGTGGGCGCGGCGAGGAGAGACGGCGCGGCTGCATCTGATGCTCGGCTGTTTTCGGCCGCCACTTCCGGCAGCGCATGTTCGGACACTCCGCAACAAAGAGCGCGTGCCGCTCTTCTGTCCCTCTGTGCGCAGCGCTCATGGGCGAGCACGTCGTCCACGTGGGCGCGGCGAGAAAAGACGGCGCGGCTACATCTGATGCTCAGCTGTTTTCGGCCGCCACTTCCGGCAGCGCATGTTCGGACACTCCGCAACAAAGAGCGCGTGCCGCTCTTCTGTCCCTCTGTGCGCAGCGCTCATGGGCGAGCACGTCGTCCACGTGGGCGCGGCGAGGAGAGACGGCGCGGCTGCATCTGATGCTCGGCTGTTTTCGGCCGCCACTTCCGGCAGCGCATGTTCGGACACTCCGCAACAAAGAGCGCGTGCCGCTCTTCTGTCCCTCTGTGCGCAGCGCTCATGGGCGAGCACGTCGTCCACGTGGGCGCGGCGAGGAGAGACGGCGCGGCTGCATCTGATGCTCGGCTGTTTTCGGCCGCCACTTCCGGCAGCGCATGTTCGGACACTCCGCAACAAAGAGCGCGTGCCGCTCTATGTCCCTCTGTGCGCGAGCACGTCTCCATCTGTTTTCCCTCGGCAGGCTGTGCGCAGCAGCTCATGGGCGAGCACGTCGTCCACGTGGGCGCGGCGAGGAGAGACGGCGCGGCTGCATCTGATGCTCGGCTGTTTTCGGCCGCCACTTCCGGCAGCGCATGTTCGGACACTCCGCAACAAAGAGCGCGTGCCGCTCTTCTGTCCCTCTGTGCGCAGCGCTCATGGGCGAGCACGTCGTCCACGTGGGCGCGGCGAGGAGAGACGGCGCGGCTGCATCTGATGCTCGGCTGTTTTCGGCCGCCACTTCCGGCAGCGCATGTTCGGACACTCCGCAACAAAGAGCGCGTGCCGCTCTTCTGTCCCTCTGTGCGCAGCGCTCATGGGCGAGCACGTCGTCCACGTGGGCGCGGCGAGAAAAGACGGCGCGGCTGCATCTGATGCTCGGCTGTTTTCGGCCGCCACTTCCGGCAGCGCATGTTCGGACACTCCGCAACAAAGAGCGCGTGCCGCTCTTCTGTCCTCTGTGCGCAGCGCTCATGGGCGAGCACGTCGTCCACGTGGGCGCGGCGAGAAAAGACGGCGCGGCTGCATCTGATGCTCGGCTGTTTTCGGCCGCCACTTCCGGCAGCGCATGTTCGGACACTCCGCAACAAAGAGCGCGTGCCGCTCTTCTGTCCCTCTGTGCGCCGCGCTCATGGGCGAGCACGCGTTCCACGTGGGCGCGGCGAGAAAAAGACGGCGCGGCTGCATCTGATGCTCGGCTTGTTTTCGGCCGCCACTTCCGGCAGCGCATGTCGGACACTCCCCACACAACAAAAGAGAGCGCGTGCCGCTCTTCTGTCCCTCTGTGCGCAGCGCTCATGGGCGAGCACGTCGTCCACGTGGGCGCGGCGAGAAAAGACGGCGCGGCTGCATCTGATGCTCGGCTGTTTTCGGCCGCCACTTCCGGCAGCGCATGTTCGGACACTCCGCAACAAAGAGCGCGTGCCGCTCTTCTGTCCCTCTGTGCGCAGCGCTCATGGGCGAGCACGTCGTCCACGTGGGCGCGGCGAGAAAAGACGGCGCGGCTGCATCTGATGCTCGGCTGTTTTCGGCCGCCACTTCGGCAGCGCATGTTCGGACACTCCGCAACAAAGAGCGCGTGCCGCTCTTCTGTCCCTCTGTGCGCAGCGCTCATGGGCGAGCACGTCGTCCACGTGGGCGCGGCGAGAAAAGACGGCGCGGCTGCATCTGATGCTCGGCTGTTTTCGGCCGCCACTTCCGGCAGCGCATGTTCGGACACTCCGCAACAAAGAGCGCGTGCCGCTCTTCTGTCCCTCTGTGCGCAGCGCTCATGGGCGAGCAACTTATCCGTATCCGCGGCATCGCGGGCCAGGCCCCTGGGCCGCGACCCTGCGGATACTTTTTTTTTGCGGATGCCCCGCGCGAAGCGTACCCGTGCGATTGCGTATCTGCGGGATCGCGATCCAGAATCCAGACCGCGAGGGCGCGGATACAGATAAGCCTGCCTTCCGTGAGGAGCCCCCTGAGGTCCAATACCTCTGGCCGTTCATTGAAGCCGTTTTGTGTTACGTGATGCATCTTCTCTGTTTTACGGAGTCCGTGCCGTTTCCGCGTCGCTTTCGTGTCCTTTCGGCCGTTCTGTTTTGATGGTGCCAATGGCCAATGGAGGACGTTGAGCGTGCTCGGACGAGGGCGGAGCGGAAGTGGACAGAAAGTGGAACGGAAGCAACCGCTCAAGCGCAACGCGAAGGCTCCTACGCAGCAGATCAGCATTTCCCTGTTATTTGGGATGTTAACGCGAAGGCTCCCACGAACGGCCACACGTCAGCGGCGAGCCAACATGTAAATGCTATGTGTGCGTCGCCCTCCGAAGGCCGACGCGCCCGCCGAGAAATCTTCTAGTATATGCGCGGTGGCGGGCGCTCTCTGGCCATACCACTTGGGAAACGATATACGACAATATGGTTCTATTATGTTTTGAGGACGGACGCACGCCTCCAAGGAGGACACATAGTATTAGCATGACTTCCCGAGTAGTTTTGTTGACGGTCCCGAGGCCCAGAGAGGGCCCCTGGAGGTCAAAAATCATGTCTAGTCTCCCGTCCTGCTTTTTTCACGACGCGAGTTTGGCCGCTCAGAAAAAGGGGGAAGCCCTTGGATGCACCCGAAGGGGACTATTCGGGCGCACCCCCATGCAGGATGGGCGCCACCCATTGTAACTATATCCCAGGGCCGGGCCCAGATTGCTGGTCCACTCGAAAGCCCCCACGAAGCCTGCCATAGGGGTCGACACATCCCCTGCGAACCAGGTGCAGTTCCTCAGAGCGACGATGTGAACCTTGAGGATGGTGATAAAGTTCGCCCAGAGTTCGCCCCCCGTGCCTCTTGTGGCAAGTTGGGGTCATCTTTGTTATCCGCGGCATGCGGTTATCCCCTGCGAGCCAGGTCCAGTAAGCACCTCAGAGCGACGATGCGAACTTTGTGGGTGATCACAAAAAGTTCGCCCAGAGCTCGCCCCCTGCGCCTCTTGTGGCACTCGGAACCCACATGCACCCCGTGGAGAATCAGATAGAGGGGGTGAAGCGGGGGGGGGGTCACCTTTATCATCCGCGGCGTGCGGCTATCCCCTGCCAGCCTTAAGTCGGGCCTGTCCCTCTACAGGGGGAATCAAAAACAGTAAAAATGTAGTCTGGGGACTCTTTTTGGTATATTTTGTGGCATCTTTTGAATATTGTTGGGGGTATTTTTAATTTTTCGTTCAAAATTCTTCTGTAGGGGGGCAAGCCCGACCTGAGGCTATCCCTCGCCGACCAGGTCCAGTACCTCTGGCCGCGGCGCCGCGCGGACGGCGCCTGGGAGCTCCTGCCGCCCGCCGCGGGCGCCAGCCGGCCCTCCGCCCGGCGGCGCGCCGAGGCCCGCGCCGTGCCGAGGCCGCACTGGCTGGCGAAGCCGGCGCGGCGCAGCGCGGGCCCGAGCGGCGGCCGCGGCGGCAGGAGGAAGGCCCAGGTCTCAGGCAGGGGTGAAGCTTCCTGCTCGGCACTCATCCCCATCCTCCTCATCATCATCCTTCTCCTTCTCCTCCTCCTCCCTCCTCCTCCTTCTCTCCTCCTCCTTGTCCTCCTCTCCTCCTCTCTCCTCCCTCCTCCTCCTCCTCCTCCTCCTCCTCCTCCTCCTCCTCCTCCTCCCCTGCCCTCGCTTTGTCTTCCCCTTTCTGGGCCTCCTGGGCGGCCCTCGTCCCCAACGCGGGATCCGCCCTGGGTGCCCAAGAAACCTCCGGAGAAGCCCCCAAAAAGCTTCTAGAGAAGCCCCTGGAGCGGGGTGAAGCGTCCTGGCTTGCCCAGGTCTCAAGCAGGGGTGAAGCGTCCTGGCCTACCTAGAGCCTGTTCTTCTGTAGACCCAGGCAGGTTTACTTGCATGGCGTTGGCCCCCCCCTCCTCCCCAGCCCTCGCCCCTCTTCAGTCGAACACGAGCGTGCAAGTGCCTTTCGACCTGGCCTGGTTTCCGCACGTCGAGCTGTTTTCGACTTGCTTCAGGCTCAGGCCCCTCCCCACGCGTCCATGCAAGTAAACTTGCACGAGTCTTTAAAACAAACAGGCTCATATAGGCCCACCAAACGATGTTTTGAAACACCGCTTGTGGTTTGCACGAAAGGTTCCTAGAACATTTCTGGCTGAGACTGGCGTGTTACAGTCAAGCTGCATAGTAAGATGGGCAACCTTCCCAAGGGTACCCTTGCATCCTTACCCCTTCGGCCCATCCTTTGCCACGTTCGTTGGCCGCGCCCCGCTCGAAAAGCTTCGAAATGTGTGTCCAAGGCCCTTTGCATCCTTATCGCGCATCCTTGCTATACGGGCTTACTGTGATACATAGGGTTTATGCTCTGAGAAAACGTGTGCTGTTCTGAGAACAGTTGTGGGGTTCCGAGAACATGTCGTGGTAGGCCGAGAGGAATGCCGGGACGATCGGTGCCTGCTCAAAGCTCCTCACCCAGACATACTCGCGTTGCGCCAAAAATCATGACGGGGGGCTCTCCCGCCGCTTTCGGCCGCTTGGGGTCCTCGCCGTGCCCCCGGGGCCGTCACTAAACGGCTCGGAATGCAACGCTTCTTGCCTTGGGGAATGAGTCGGGAGTTCAAGGGTCGACGTGGTGGAAAAATATGGCGTACAAATAGTCAGATGAGCAACATGTACCCACGACACTACCCGTCCTTCGGTTTCCTTTCTCTGGGCCCCCTTGGGAGACCCTCGCCACCACCGTGGGTTCGCGTCGAAATTCTGGTCAGGACGCACCCTGGGAGAGGTCTGGGGACTAGTGGCATCGGTATTCGGTTCCCCCAGAAAGTCAGCAGGGGAACAAAAACACACAGACACAATTAATCGTCGATCCCTGGGAAAAGATTGGGAAATCCGGGAAGTGGGGAAGAAGACGAAAAAACAACAAATATTTGGAATTTCTGGGAATCTTGGAATTTGCATGAATTTATTATCTTGCACAGGGTGTCTGGAGCTCCGGCCACTTTATGCCGCGTCGCACCCCCCCCCGCCGCGCCCCCCAGCGCCAGAGTGGGACCCCCGCGCCGTGGCTCTCTGCCCCGAGCCCCCCCGCGCCCCCAGCGCCCCAGCGGGAGCCCCGCCCACTGCCCCCTCCGCCACGACCGCTTTATTCCACGTCGCACCCCCCCCCTCCCCCACGTCCCCAGCGCCAGAGTGGGACCCCCGCGCCGTGGCTCTCTGCTCAGAGCCCCCGCGCGTCCCCAGCGCCCCAGCGGGGGCCCCGCCCACTGCCCCCTCCGCCACGACCGCTTTATTCCGCGTCGCACCCCCCCCCCGCGTCCCCAGCGCCAGAGTGGGACCCCCGCGCCGTGGCTCTCTGCCCCGAGCCCCCCCGCGTCCCCAGCGCGCCCAGCGGGAACCCCGCCCACTGCCCCCTCCGCCACGAACGCTTTATTCCGCGTCGCGACGCACACCGCCTCCCCCACCTCCCTCCCCGCGTCCCAGCGCCCCAGTGGGGGTTCCGCCCCGTGCCCCCTTCCGCCCCGACAATTTATTTCCGCGTCGCGACGCACCCCACCTCCCCCTCCCCCCTCCGTCCCTAGCGCTTCAGTTGGACCCCCGCCCGTGGCCCTCTGTCCCAAGCCCCCGCCCGTGCCCCCCCCCCGCCCCGACCATTTTATTCCGCGTCGCGACGCGCGCCACCTCACCCCCCTCCTCTTCGCACCCCCAGCGCTCCAGTGGGACCTCCGCCCCGTGCCCCCTCCGCTCCGAGCACTTTACTCGCGTCGCGACGCACGCCACTTCCCCCCCCCCCTCCCCACCTGGGATTTGGGCCCCGTTGCTGCTGGTCCCCGAGGGGCGATGTCTTGCCCCCTCTTCCCCCCTCCTCCTCCACCTCCTCTTCCTCCCCCTTCTTTTTTGTGCAAGAGCCATGGCACGCGTGCCACATGTTGATGTGTCCTTCTGCCCCTGTTAGATAGGCCGGCGAACCTCATGGGGAGGAGGGGGGCCCAGGCCCTGAGAAGGCCCAGGCCCAGAGAGAAGGAGGGCCCAGGCCCCCAGAGGGATGGGAAGGTACGGGGCGGGGCATGATGGGGGGTGACTTCAAAGGGGAGTGAAGACAAGGACTCTCAAGGGGCCGTGAAGTTCTCTTTGGGTTCCTAAGCCTCCCTTTTGCACTCTAATGTTTCTCCTTTGGGTTTCTAAGGTTCAGTGGGGAGTGAAGAAAAAGAGCTCTAAAGATTCCCTCTGGGTTCCTAAAAATGTGCTTTAAGGTTCTCTTTGGGAGCCAGCATTGGCCTTATAGGTTCCCTTCAGGGTCCTGGAGGTTCCCTCTAGGGCCCGAAAGGGCGGCATGAAGAAGGCCCATGTCCTCACAGGGAGGGCAGGTCGGCAAGCCCGAGTTCTGGCGAACTCGAGTTCCAGCGAACCCAGGGCTCAAGAGAAGGGGGTCAATGCAAACGGGGGTCAGCCAGAGCGCCAGATCTTGCAGGATCTTGCAGGGCCAGGATTGCATTGACCCTTGCTTGGGCGCATGATCTTGTAGGATCTTGCAGGGTCCTGCAAGACCTGATTGACCCGGGTTTGGAATGGCCTGGGTCAGAAGATTCCCGACGAATTCGAGGTCCGGCAAACCCGAGCATTTTGTAATGTCAGCTTGTGATTAACAAATCCGTGGGGGCGCGTGTTTAAACAAATAATGTCCCTGCTCGGGCGAATCGCGGGGTGGCGTCCGCCAGATTGAAAATCAACCGGGCGGCGCCAGTGATTAGCGCCGACGCCTGGCCGCCAACGAGGGGCAAGAGGGGGTGTTTGGAGGCAATGGCGAGCCAGGGCGCCCCTCTGTCCGTCGAGCCGATGCGGGCCTGCGGGCAAGGCGGGCTGGACGAAAGGGGGGCGCAGCAAAGAGGGGATTTGCTAAGCAGCTCACATCGCCGATTTTCCAAGCGCCTCCTGGCACGCGAGGCAAGGCGCGGCGAGGCGTGGCAAGGCGGGCCCGTCTCCCTCACCCCCTTGCCCCTCCTGACCCCTCTTCCTCCTCCTCCTCCTCTTCCTCCTCCTCCTCCTCCTCCTCTTCCTCCTCCTCCTCCTCAACCGTCTCCTCCTCCTTCTCCTCCTCCCCTTCCTCCTCCTCCTCCTCCTCCTCCTCATCCTCCTCCTCCTCCCTGTCCTCCTTCTCTTCCTCGTCCTCCTTCTCCTCCTTTTCCTCCTTTCCCCTCCTCTCTCCTCCTCCTCCTCCTCCTCCTCCCTCCTCCTCCTCCTCCTCCTCCTCCTCCTCCTCCTCCTCCTCCTCCTCCTCCTCCTCCTCCTCCCTGGCGCGCGTGATTGAAACATGATCCTGGCGACGTACCCAACCCCTGCGCAATGCGGGGTAGGAGTAGCTTGGGAGATTTGACAAGAAGGCGGCGACGTGACATGGACGCATATACTTCTGCGAGCGGCTTTCGTTCGCAGGCCCCCAATCACGAGAAAGACTATGGATGAGTAACTAAATGAACCCCTGAGTCACGAAGGAAGACGCAAGGTCCAAAGGGAGACGGTGGGCAAGGGGCTTGAAACGTCGGCGGGGCAGCAACAACATGACATGGCCCCAAAGGCCGGCGAGGCCCCGCTCAGGTCTTCGCAGTGCCTCACTCCGCTGGACCCACCAGCAGCCTTCGACAGTGGCGAGCCCACCAGTAGCCTTCGAAAGTGGCGACAATTTCGCAAATCGCAACGGGGAGGTCCCGCTCAGATCCGCGCGGTGCCTCACTCCGCTGGACCCACCAGCAACCTTCGAAAGTGGCGCCAGTTTCGCAGATCGCAGCCCCCCCGGGACAGGGAGGTCCCGCTCAGATCCGCGCGGTGCTTCACCCCGCTGGAGCCACCAGCAGCCCTCGAAAATGGCCGCAGTTTCGCAGATCGCAGCCCCCCGGATCCCGCGCAGATCCGCGCCGTGCCTCACTCCACTGGACCTACCAGCGGCCTTCGAAAGTGGCGACCGTTTCGCAGATCGCAGCCCCCCACGAACGGGGAGGTCCCGCTCAGATCCGCGCGGTGCTTCACTCCGCTGGACCCCCTCGAAAGTTGCGACATTTCCGCAGATCGCAGCTCCCCAGGGACGCGGAGGTCCCGCTCAGGTCTGCGCAGTGCCCCATTCCACTGGACCCACCAGCAGCCTTCGAAAATGGCGACATTTTCGCAGATCGCAGCCCCCCAGGGACGGAGAGGTCCCGCTCAGATCCGCGCGGTGCCCCATTCCATTGGACCCACCAGCAGCCCTCGAAAGTGGCGACATTTTCGTTGATCGCAGCCCCCCAGGGACGGGGAGGTCCCGCTCAGATCCGCGCGGTGCCTCACTCCGCTGGACCCACCAGCAACCTTCGAAAGTGGCGCCAGTTTCGCAGATCGCAGCCCCCCACTGACGGGGAGGTCCCGCTCAGATCCGCGCGGTGCCTCACTCCGCTAGACCCATCAGCAGCCATCGAAAATGGCCGCAGTTTCGCAGATCGCAGCCCCCCAGGGACGGGGAGGTCCCGCTCAGATCCGCGCGGTGCTTCATTCCACTGGACCCACCAGCAGCCCTCGAAAGTGGCGACAGTTTCGCAGACCGCAGCCCCCCACGAACGGGGAGGTCCCGCTCAGATCCGCGCGGTGCCTCACTCCGCTGGACCCACCAGCATTTTTCGAAAACGGCGACAGTTTCGCAGATCGCAGCCCCCCCGGCAAGGCAAGAGGAAACAAAACGGAGGGGGGCGGGAGGCAGGAGGCGGGAGGAAGAGGAGGGAGACGCGATCTCGGTGCTTTATTCCAAACGAATACCCAACCAAGGAGGTTGGGGAAACGTATCGCGCCCCGCGGGGTCTATTCATCAGCCCCGGGGGGTCCGGCCATTTGTTAATCACAAGCTAACATTCGGGTAATCCCCAAGTGCCGCCGCAGTTGTGCCTTCGAATTCGGCATCGTCTCTCCCAACGCCCTGACGGGTAACCTCCTCCATTGCTCCGCTGGTGAGAAAAAGCCATCCTGGCGGAGGGCCCAACCATTAGCAGCTTCGATTCTCGCGGGGCAGGTGGGAAGGAAGAGGAGGAGGAGGCCAGGAGAAGGACTGCGGCGCTGGCAGGGAGAGAAAAGCCGTTGGGCTCTCGGGGGATGCATTGTTTGGCGCGGGTTCCGTGCGGCATTTGGGCACCGCGCACTGCAGAGTCCCCACGAACCGCGCCAGTCGCCCCGAAGGATTCCTGGCGACGCGCGCGGGTTGTCCGCGGCAAGGAGCAGAAGACGCGGGTGACTGACAACGGGCAAGGCGCTTGGCAGAGCGCGCTGGCGTCGGGCAGCTCCTGGAGGCAGAGCGCGAGGGAGTCCCCACGAGCCGAGGGGGCCACGAAGCGCGTGGAGGGTGCGCCTTCGGTGGAGCATCTTCTGGGGCCACGAGGCGTGTGAGGGGTGCGCGGACGTGGGCTTGGGGTGGGCGGGGGGCCACATGCGTTGTTTGCGATGCGGGCCTTGGGTGGCGCTCCCTTTGGGGCCGCGAAGCGCATGTGGGGTGTGCCAACATGGGCATGCGGCGTGCGGGGGACCGCATGTGCGACCCCTGCCACTTGTGCCTTCGGTGGAGCTCCCTGTGGGGCCACGAACCGAATGAATGTTATTCCGGAATTGACATGCGGTGGGCGTGGAGCCGCATGTCAAGTTTGACATTGTGGTCTTCGGTACAAGTCCTTTTTGTGGCTTCACCGCAGACCGCAATGGCAAAGATGAAGTTCCTTCTGGGGCCGCGAAACGTGTGACGGGTGCGCCGAAATGGACATGCGGTTGGCGGGGAGCCGCATGTGATGTTTGCCAGTGGGGTGTTTGATGGAGCTCCTTTATGGGCCACGAAGCTTGTGAGGGATGCTCTGGCATGGAAGCGAAGTGGGAGGGGGACGCATGCCATTCGGGACCTGGGTGGAGCTCTGTTTGGGGCCACGAAGCGTGTGCCGAAACGGACATGCGGCGGGCGGAGGGTCGCATGCGAAGTTTGCAGTTGGGTCTCGGTGGAGCCCCGGCAGGGGGCCACGAAGTGCGTGAGGGTTTCACGTGATGGTCGACACTCGGAGAGCAGAAGCAAGGATGGAGGAAGGGAGGGGAGGTGGAGGGGGGAGAGGGGAGGTGGGAGGGGGAGGAGGGGGAGGAGGAGGAGGGGGAGGGGGAGGAGGAGGAGGAGGAGGAGGAGGAGGAGGAGGAGGAGGAGGAGGAGGAGGAGGAGGAGGAGGAGGAGGAGGAGGGAGGGGAGAAGAAATTGTGCGGAATGAACTGCAGGGGCGCTGTCTTTTCAGAACTGGGGCCCGACACCACAACAAGCTGGTTTGGGAAAGCGGCCTCGAAACAGACGCGCCTCCGGTCCAGAGTGCCGTCAGACATGCCCTTGTGTTGGGAGGAAGGGCAAGGTCAGTAAACCCGAGTTCTGGCGAGTTCGACTTCTGGCGAACTCGAACTCGCACTCGAACTCTAACGTGTCCCCGACGCAATGTCGACGGTGGCTTCGCGAGGGGTCGCGGCTTGGGGCTGGCCCGTCCGGAACATGTTTTCTGTCGGGTTTTGCTAGAATCAGGAGGGGAAAAACACACAGACACAATTAATCGTCGATTCGCCAGAAAATATGGCAAAATATTGGCAGTGGGGGGGAGACAATCACCAAAGCAAATAGGAACATATGGGGAGTTCTTTTATTTGTCTGTAGTTATTTGTGTGTCCTGGGGCCCCTTCAAAATTGCACGGAATGAACTGCAGGGGCGCTGTCTTTTCAGAACTGGGGCCCGACACCACAACGAGATGGTTTGGGAAAGCGGCCTCGAAACAGACGCGCCTCCGGTCCAAAGTGCCGTCAAACATGCCCTTGTGTTGGGAGGAAGGGAAAGGTCAGTAAACCCGAGTTCTGGCGAGTTCGACTTCTGGCGAACTCGAACTCGCGCACTCGAACTCTAACGTGTCCCCGACGCAATGTCGACGGTGGCTTCGCGAGGGGTCGCGGCTTGGGGCTGGCCCGTCCGGAACACGTTTTCTTTCGGGTGTTGCTAGAATCAGGAGGGGAAAAACACACAGACACAATTAATCGTCGATTCCCCAGAAAATGTGGCAAAACATGGGAAATGGGGGGGAAGACAGAAACCCAGAACATATGGGAAAATATGGGGAATCCTGTTATTTGTGTCTATTTATTTGTGTGTCCCAGGGCCCCTTCATAGAAGTGCCCTTGGCCCAAGGTGCCTCCAGGATTTCCATGGAGGCCCAGGAGCTCCAGAGCTCCAAAAGTTGAGCCACGGCAGGGGGCACCATTGGCCAGGGGCGTCTTCTAGCGGCACCCGTGGAGAAGAAGGCCCAGGTCTTCAGAGGGGATGAAGGGTACCAATCTTAGTTGCCTCGATACGCCCGTCTTGAAACGCAAGACGTCCCTTGTTCAAGACGTCCGTGTCAATACGTTGCGTGTTGGCTCCACGTATTGGACCACGTTTTGGCGAGTGTATCGCGTTTGACGTACGTTTTCAGCCTACGTGTTGAGCTCCGTATCAATAAGATACGTGTTGCGTGTTGCGTATCGGGGCAGCTAAGGTGCCAATGCTTCGGAGCTTGTGGTGCTCCGCGCTGCTTTCTTGGATGGGCTGGACCCCCCCCGTCCCTGGCGCGCACAGCCCATGTCTTCGGCGGGGCCTTCGGGGGCCTCTGTACCGGGCCACGCAGTGGTCGCAGGCATGGGGAGGGAGAAGGGGGGGGGGAGGGCGAGGAGAGAAGGGAGGGAGAAGGAGGGGGGGAGGGAGAAGGAGGGGGGGGAGGGAGAAGGAGGGGAGAAGGAGGGGGGAGGGAGAGCGAGAAGGAGGGGAGGGAGAAGGAGGAGGGGGGGCGTGGCACACGTCAGAGCGTCGCCTGTCTGCGCCCAGGTTCTGCCCCGGGCCTCCCGGCACTTCGCGGGGCCTGCGGGCCCGGCCGGCGCGGAGGCTCTGCAGGAGGCAGCCGCGGGAGGGGCGGCGGCTGCCCGCACGGGCGCCTCGGCGGAGCGGCGCCTGTGGCGCGTCGCCCTGCGGGCTCGGCCGGAGGGGCCGATCGACGTGTGACGCGCCGGGGCGGAGGCGCAGAGAGGCGGAAGCCTGGCGTGCTCCTGCGGACTTTGGGGGTTGTCCGGCCTCTGCCCCACCCGAACGAGGTCCCGCCAAGGAGCCCACGAAGGTTCAGGGCAGCAGAGCTCCCGAGAACCCCCCCCCAAAAAAAAACAACAGCATGGAAACACGCAGCTCCGCCGCCTTCCGCCGAGCTTGGTCTGCGGGGCCGCGGAGTGTCTAATCTTCTTGATGGGCAAATTTTCCACCACCGCTAGCATGTGGGGGCTTTACAAAAAGGGCCTCGCCTGCGAGGATAGAAGGAGCTGTCATGGCGGAAGGTCACGAGGCCGCCTCCGCCGGCGGAAGCCGGCGGAAGCTCGGCAGAAGGCGGTAGAAGTATGACAAATGTCCCCAAGAGATAAAAACGTTTGTGGGTTCAGGGTTTCCGAAACCGGCCATACGTATGACGTGGGAGAAGGAAGGATGTGGAGGTCCTCTTCCTTTCCGCCTCCTCTCCTCCTCCTCCTCCTCCTCCTCCTTCTCCTCCTCCTCCTCCTCCTCCTCCTCCTCCTCCTCTTCCTCCTCCCTCTCCTACCTGTGGCAGCGGTGGTGGAAGATCGGCCCATGATTTCCAGGCCTCTCCGACGAGCGGACGGCAGAAGCGGAGTCGACTGCGCGGGGGGGCGCGCGGGGGGGCGCCCTCTTCTCCGGGCGGCGTGCCGCGCGGGCGGCCCGCAGAACCCGCCGCGCGAGGTCGCCGTGCCGTCTCACGCAAGACCCACAGGAGGAGGAGGAGGAGGAAGAGGAGGAGGAGGAGGAGGAGGAGGAGGAGGTCTCGTCGCCCGAATAGGGTCCGAGTGGAAGACGTTGGAGCCGAGTGGGGCGCCGAAGTGAAGACTTGAGAGTAAGATCCACCCTGGCCCCAGGAGGGGCTGGGCTCTTCGGGCGGTTCCCTGGCCTCCTCGGAGACGCCAACAGATCTCCCAACGCGGCCTCCTGTCCAGGACCTAATTTTACCGAAGGCCAGTCAACCCTGCTTTCGGTATGGTCCAGCGGAATGAGCGAAGCGATTACCGCCCGTTTTGGCCTCCCAGATTGAGTCCGATCAAATTGAGTCGAAGGACAGATCCGTATCACCGATTTATCGGCGATGCTGGGCGATGTGGATCCCGTTTTGCTGCACGTCGTCGTCGTCTTCGATGCATCGCCGACGTCGACGATGCAGCGCCGATGCATCCCCGATGCATCGCCGATGCATCGGCGATGCGGCGCGATTCTCCGACACCATTTCTGTCGACCCCATCTAATTGGCCTCCAGAGCTGAAGACGCGGGAATACGCTCCACCCTGGGCTCAGGAGGCGCTCTAGTTTCCGGAACGTTCCCTGGATCTCGGTCGGGGAGCCTGTTCGTGACAGATGCCCGCCGTGGCCACGAAGGCAAATTCGTTCCTTAGTCAGCGTATTAGAGCAGCCCGAGGGCTACATGGCGCAGTGGTTCGTTGCACCTCCAAGCAGATTCAGCCAAGCGCTTCGCACACGCTGCCTGCCCAACTCCCATCATGGTTGTTCTCTGCTTGTGTCGGCGGTTCAAAGATGGGGCCCTGAGAGGTAGGGCCCTAACCACGAGTGGTCTCAAACACCAAGTGTTCAGTAAATGTTCAATCCCTCAGGGCCCATCTCTGAACCGCCGATCGTGTGTTCATGGGGATCTTCGAGCAGTTCGCCCAAACTGCCGGGAGACCCCCCCTCGCGCAATTGAAAAACAGTCATGTAGCAACTCGAGGTCGCAGTTCGATCGAAACGTACAACCTCCCAGGTTTCAGCAACGAGCCCGAAACACGACCAGGCAAGATACATTGGACATATTCAGATGCTTTCCTTGTGCAAAGTGCGCTCTTCTGCTGTTGGGAGTATCCTCGAAGATTTTTGGAGGACTTCGAGCCTTTTTGCCTGCACGGGGAAGCCTCGGCCATCATGACTTACATTACAATAGGATGTCTTGCGCCATTCTGGGGCCCGGTATGGGTAAATCTGCGCTCTTGTGCCATTCTCCGGCGTCTTGGGCTCATATTGGGACCCTGTTTGGGTTTCTATTGGATGTGATGAGGTTTCTTATGCATCTCCTAGACTATGTTCGTTCCTCTTGGAGCCAACTCGGGGCCAGAGAAGCCCATGGAACCCGCAAAGGCGAGAGCACCGAAACCACAACATCAACCGCAACTATCATAGTAGGACAACATCTTGTTTGCTCGCGGGGCCTCTTCGTCTATGGGACCGCACGCATTGCCACATCCTATCTTCTATGGCGGCGACCCAGATGACACATGTCTTCTCAATACCCGATGCTTGCTCTCGTCCATGTACCCGTTTAGCTGACGATGGTAAAGGGCCTCGGAAGAGGTGTTGGCAAAACATGGTCGGGCGGGATGCCCGGGAAACGGAACCGCGGGCCCCCCCGGATGTGTGACATCAGTTGGGGAAAGCGTGTTGCACGTGGTCTCTTCGAGCATCTCGGTTGAGTACAGTCGGGGCCCTGAAGAAGGAACTCTTTTCGTTTGGGAGGGGCTCCGTGTTCCTGATAGTTTCGCAGTTTGCCTTAGGTTGTCCTTAGGTTTTCGATGTGAAATCGAAGTTTAACTTATGAAAAAAAGGCCTCGTTCCTTATCTAGGGTTCCTTAGGTCAACGCCCCGACTGAAGGTGTGTTGAACTCTCTCCTGTGAATCGGCGGCGCGCTCAGGGGGAACGTGAGAGAGAAAGCGGGCCGTCTCAGAAGGGGTCGGAAGCCCTCGGCGTTCGCAGAAGACTTCTCACCGCCGCCGGGTGAAGAAGGATCGCTGTTATTCCCCACCGTGTGGTGCTCAGCCTGTTCTTCATTCGAAGTGCCCCCCTCCCTGGCTCTCGCACAGTGCTGTGGCGCGGTGGCGCGCATTTTTCATTCGTGCGTCAACGCCCGTGGTGCATCCACCAAGGCGCGTCGCTCGGCACATGCACATCCATCACATCAAAGTTCGTTGTCAGCAGTGCCTTTTCTCTGCAGCGAGCCCAGGGGAAGCGAGAAGGAGCAGGCCTTCTCAGCTGTCGGTGGGCTTCTCAGATTCCTTCTGGTCTTCTGAGCAGTTTTCTGCGTGCTCGGAAAACGAAAAAACAAAGTATTCTGAAGGCCCGAGGGCTCCGAACCTTCCGAGAAGGCCCGCCCCTTCTCAATTTCCCTCTGGGATCGCCTCCGATTTTCGCGAACGGGTGATGCCACGGCCCCGCTCGCCACACCTCTTTCGCGGCAGCACTCGGCGCCTCTTGCTGCACCTCTGCGGCATCGGACACGCCGCGCACCGGCAGCAGCTCCTCTCCAAGACGTCCGACCTCAACTCTTCTGTGCAGCTCCGAGGTCCAACGCTGGGTGGAGGCGGGCACGCCAGAGCGGCGTCACGCTCCGCGTCTCGTTTTTTTGTTCTCGTGCGATCGCCTCTGGCCCTGCCCTGCTGGCCACCGGCAGGGCTGCCGGCCAGGCGCAGCGCTGAGCGACAGACCGAGGAGCCTCGCAGAGGAAAGCGCAGCCGCTCCGCGCGACCTCGCCAGCCCAAGCAGCAACGGAACCCGTGGCGCGCTGTTGCCCGCAAGCTCTTGCAGGAGCAGCACTGTTACAGGAGGGGCTATGGGGCAACGATAAGGGGGGGATAGGCATAAAGGGGGGAAGTATCGACCCCCAGTCGCCAATTCATTTCCGATAGGGGTCTGACAACCCGCCCGCCCAGGAACGTGCGGATTCGCTATTGGCTGTTGGGGGCCTATCGCCAATCTATCGGCGATGGATCGCCGATTCCAGGTCGATGCTTCCTGGTCCACCCCCAATCGTTGCCCCTCAATGGGGGGCACCAGTCATCTCAAGACGCGGGGCAGCCCAAACCTTGGGTCGTCTTGGGCCATCGTGGAGCCATCTTGGACCGTCTTGGTGGGCTCCTGGCCCGTCTGACGCCGTCGGAAGCCGTCTTGGGGGCCTCACTGGGCCGACTTGGGGCTCCCAGGGCCGTCTTGGAGGCCATCTTGGGGCGTCTTGGAGGCCTCTCAGGCCGTCTTGGGGCCCTCTAGGAGCCGTCTTGGGGGCCTCTTCGGCCGTTCTGGGACTATCTTTGAGGCCTCTTGGGCGATCTGGGGGCGATCTTTGGGGGGCTCTTGGGCCTCCAAGACAGCACAACCCAGGCGAGCTGACGCGTGCGCTCGAGAGCGCACCCATCCGCCAGCGGGTTCCGGGAGGGCGCCGCCGTCGAGGCAGGGCGAATTGCTGGGCGAGGTGCCACTCAAGGGAAGCTGATACTTCTACGTGGCGCCATAGGGGTATGCACGCCAGTCGCTGGAAGTAGGTATTTTAGATTCCAAGCTCCCAATCTATTTCAAGCACTGTCTTATTTCAAGGATCGATTTTATTCTCTTGCACAGGGTGTCTAGAGCTCCGACCATTTTATTCCGCGTCGCACCACACCCGCGTCCCCAGCGCCAGAGTGGGACCCCCGCGCCGTGGCTTTCTGCCCCGAGCCCCCCCCGCGTCCCCAGCGCCCCAGCGGGAACCCCGCCCACTGTCCCCTCCGCCACGAACGCTTTATTCCGCGTCGCCTCCCCCCCCCCTCCGCGTCCCCAGCGCCATAGTGGGACCCCCGCGCCGTGGCTCTCTGCCCCGAGCCCCCCCGCGTCCCGAGCGCCCCAGCGGGGGCCCCGCCCACTGCCCCCTCCGCTTTATTCCGCGTCGCACACACCCCTCCCCCCCCATCCCCAGCGCCAGAGTGGGACCCCCGCGCCGTGGTTCTCTGCCCCGAGCCCCCCCCCGCGTCCCCAGCGCCCCAGCGGGAACCCCGCCCACTGCCCCCTCCGCCACGAACGCTTTATTCCGCGTCGCGACGCACACCGCCTCCCCACCTCCCTCCCCGCGTCCCCAGCGCCCCAGGGGGGGCTCCGCCCCCTGCCCCCTCCCCCCCGACAATTTTATTCCGCGTCGCGACGCACACCACCTCCCCCCCTCCCCCTCCGTCCCCAGCGCCCCAGTTGGACCCCAGCCCCGTGGCTCTCTGCCCCAAGCCCCGCCCAGTGCCCCCTCCGCCCCGACCATTTTATTCTGCGTCTCGACGCACACCACCTCCCCCTTCCTCCTCTCCGCCCCCCCAGCGCCGCAGTGGGGGCTCCGCCCCGTGCCCCCTCCGCTCCGAGTACTTTACTCCGCGTCGCGACGCAAACCACCTTTTCCCCCCCTCCCCACTTGGGATTTGGGCCCCGTTGCTGAGCCCCGAGGGGCGATGTCTTGCCCCCTCTTCCCCCATCCTCTTCCACCTCCTCCTCCTCCCCCTTCCTTTTTGTGCAAGAGCCATGGCACACGTGCCACTTGTTTCCCTGTGTTTTGGTATTCTCTGGGAGGGCCTGAACCCAATCTGCGTTATCCGCCTTTCCACTGCATATCTGTGCCCGTTTTTTTCCGACCGACGTGCGCACTTTGCAGCCGCCAGGGTGGCAGGGGTCCCCGACGGCGGGCAAGACGTTTCCCAACCCGACAGGTTGGGGTCGTTAGATTTCAAGAGCAGACTTCCCAGTCCGCCCGCTCTTCATACCGTGGCCGCCAGATACCCAGGCTCCCGATAATCCCTGGTCGTCCCGCCCCCCCGCCGCCCTGCATACCGCGGCCGCCAGACCCCCAGGCTCCCGATACTCCCTGGTGGTCCCGCCCCCCCCCCTTCTGCCATGGATGCCGCGGCCGCCAGATCCCCAGGCTCCCGACCGATAATCCTTGGTGGTCCCGCCCCCCCCCCGCCATGGATACCGCGGCCTCCAGATCCCAAGGCTCCGGATAATCTCTGGTTGTCCTGTCCCCCGCGCCGAGTCAACCACTCTGCTTACTGCGGCCGCCAGATCCCCGGGTCCCCGGACAATCCCTGAGGGTCCCGCCCCCCGCGCCGACTCGCCCACTCTGCATACCGCGGCCGCCAGATCCCGTGTCCCACAGAACAGAGCATGTTTCACCACATCACCGATCATCACACATCCGAGCATAACATACCAGATCATTGCAGACCACATCGTAACATAACACACCATGGTAGAGCAGTACAAACCATAGCACAGCATCGCAGCACATGCCATTCCATAGCATGACACATCAAACATATCATAACACACAAGCGCATACATGAATATACCATTTCAGAACATGTCACACCATCACATAACAGGACATAGCATACAATAGCAAAGCACAACATACAAACGCATGCGACGGCAGATCAGATCATACATGACATAGCATAGCAGAGCATAGCATAACATGGCATTACCTAACCTCAGAGAGAACGCGTTTCACGGGCGCTTGCCTTGGGATCATTCGGCGGCGCGTTTCGAACCGGAGGGGGCCCCCCCCAACATTCGGTGCCGTCGATCAAAAACAGGGGGACTCCCCTCCCCCCCAAATCCTCCCCCCTCCTGCAACCCCCCCCCCGCCCTCCCCCCCCTCTCCTCCCAAGGGGGGGATGGGGTTTGGGCGCCGGCGCCAACGGCCGCCACCAGCGCCGACGGCGGGGACGCAGCGACGATGACCAGAGGCAGCCCAAGGGGGGGGGGGATTTCCCCCCCCCCCCTCCCTCTGGCGGCGGCGCCAGCGCTGGCGCCGGCGCTGGCGCCGGCGACGGCGGGGACGCAGCGACGATAACCACCACTACCACCACCACCACCACCACCACCACCACACACCACCACCACACCACCACCACCACCACCACCACCACCACCACCACCACCACCACCACCACCACCACTACTAGCCGTTCTGGCTCAGGTGTTGATTGCTGAGCTTGCAGCAGCAGTCTTCAGAGCGGCAGTCGCTGCTGCGAGCCCCGTTTCCAATTTTCAGTTCGTTGGATCTCAACCCACACATTTCATTCCCAGCCTACGGGCTCTCATGGCCGATGGAGGCGGCGCTGAGGTCCTGCCTGGACCAAGGGCGCCGACCTGGGCGTGCTCATGTGGTCGCAACACCAACTGGGCGTCCAGGATCACATGCAGATGCGGGAAGAAGGCACCGCCAGAGGTGCGCCGTGCAGCTGAGCTTCATGCGCGCGGCCAGCAGCACCGTCCGCGCGCTGGCTTTCCTCGTGGCGGTGGGGGCAGTCGTGACGACAAGCTCCAGAAGAGGCTGGACGAGCTCCAGCGCAGGTTTGACAAGCTGGCAGGAGGAGGGAACCAAGTCCCAGCACCTCCTGCCAGCCAACGCGCCAAGGAACCGCCGAAGGATTCCAAGGAGCAAGAGCTGCGCGACAGCATCAAGCAGCTCGAGGTGGCCATATCGCACTGTGAGAAGCTTGGCGAGTCGGGCAAGGGTGCCAAGGCCGAGCTCGAGGTCAAGCTGGAGGCCGTGCGACGGGAGCTACACCAGACCAAGCCTCAGCTCACTCAACATACGAATGTGGGCCATCGCTTGGCAAGTGCTAAAGGTAAGAAGCAAAGACTTGAGCACCATATGGAGGAGCAGCTACTCTGCATTGCAAGTGCTCAAGAATAGATTGATGGCATGCGGGCACAGGTCGCAGCCACGGACCGCGAGATCGAGCTTCTCAATCGGGATCTCTTTCGCACTTTGCCTGGCAAGCCTGTCGTGGATCTGAAGGTTGATCCTGAGACTCTGGCTGCTTCGAGTGAGCAAGCGCAGATCAAGGATATGCTCCAGCCCGAGACGTTCAAAAAGTTCGCGGAGCTGCTGGCGGCTTCGCAGGCGAAGGCACCACCCGCGTCAACGGCGCCATCGCCTTTCACGTCCGAGGGTGCTGGTGCTCGTGGTCATGTGGCTCCTAGTGATGCTTCTGACGCGAGTGGAGGTGGTGCGGCTGAGGCACAACAACAGCCGACACCAGGCTTCGAGCATGATGATGACCTCGATGAAGCCATGGTCGATGATTTATTCAATGCAGCCATTCGGATCGACAAGCGTGAGTTCATCGAGCAGTTCGGTAGCAGCCTGTGTAAGAAACCGCGCATGGGGTAGCACTATGCCCCCGCGATGCCGTGGTTTGCCTACGTCTAAATTCGGAGTTCCTGCTCCACCTCCGCCTCCCCCCGACT